AAAATGAAAAATGCTGAATAAACAAGATGGATTGCCAGCAACGTTTTTTGTGACCCCCATTTGAGGAAGAAATGCATCATGGCTCCCATTGTACCAGTTCAGAGCAGAACGGCCACCATCAGTGGGCCAGCCCAAGTATTTTGATTGGAGGAACAAGATGGCATCTTGTTCCCTGTCTATGTTTAGCAGCTGACTGGATGGCCAGTTAAATTTTACTTGTCCACTGGAGATCGGGGCCAGATTAAGGCCAACGGATGCCCTAAGCACAGCCCAACAATGGTGCCCCTTGGGCCTTCTATTGCTTAACTGACATTAAGACATTAGTGATGAAAACTAAAGTTAAGGGTGGCAGTGAAAGAGTCAAGGCCATGATAGCTAGGGGAAAAAACTCTGTGGTGCCTCCCTTCTCTTGCCCTAAGCACATGCTTATTTTGCTTAATGGTTAATCCAGGGTTGCTGGAGATGGGATAATATCCTTCATATTTGAGATAGTAGGCTAGTATCAAGGGACCCTGATAGGTCTTGAAGGCACAAAGAGCCTCAACATTTTGCTTCTGCCTCCTTTAAATCTCCTTGTTCCTATCTTATGCCTCCTACTTTTTGGTATCTATTCATTCCTTCACCTGCTTCCCTCCTTCCTTTTCTATATCCCCAGTCTGGTCTTGTTGCAGCCTCTCTTTGGCCATTGCTTTCTTAGGATCTTCTTTCAATATGGAGAAGGTCCATCTCCAATCATGGAGACATGATTCTGAACCGTCAGCATATGATATTGGTCTGACTCTCATGCTCCTTGTCCACTGTGGAAAAGAATTGGGGAGAAAATCAACCCAGCCTGTAATTCTATCTAGGCACAGTAGAGCAAACTGGTTGTGGAATTCTGGGAGTTGAAGTCCACATAGCTTAAAGTTGCTGAGGGTGAGAAAAACTGCATTGGAGCAACAGCACAGAAAATGATATTAAACTACTTCTTTACTCATTATAACATGTTAATATAAATGGTAACATTATCTGCACTGATTTCAGTAGAAAACACATTTTAAAAACTAAAATTGAGATAAAGTTGAGATAAAAGCTGAACTCAACTGAACATGTAATTCTGTCTTCTCTTTCCCACAGAGATTAATGTGGTTCTTCTAGTCAAAATAGAAGATGTCTCTTTTTTCCTCCATGAAATGGGATCCTCCTAACCTTCTGAAGAAAGAAATGCCTAGCCCTTGCCGAGCGAGATTATTTCAGCATAATTAAGAAAACTTGTCAGTGTGAGTCTGGCCGCAGCCTACAGCCTTGGGGATTAAGCATGCACGTCCTTGGCATGCAGGAAGTCCAGATGTCTTTATCTTCTTAGGCAATGAGTTAGATTCAGTCCAGATGGCATCCTGATTGCTTGAAACTCCGTTGATTGAATTAGTAGAGCTGTTATTTGTTCAGCAGTTTTAAAGCTTGGGACTCCCATCCGTTGTCAATGTCCTAGACTTTGTTGCCAAATGCCTAGTGGGAGGGCAGATCAATAACTAACAACTCTATAGCATTTCTAAGTGTGTGTATTTAACAGCCCGGCACTGTCCTGGAGAACACGTTCATATGCTTTTCTGTTGACCTTGATGTGGATGGGCAAATGCATCTGCTGCTGCTCCTGCAACAGAAGGCTTTTGCTGTCTGCTTTGCATTTCAGCCTCATTTAACCACATCCTCTACCTAAAACCCACAAGGCCTCAAAAGCACCTGCTACCGGTCCAGCGTGCCAGGGATCAAGTCAAGAACATTCCAACTCCAAAGCTTTTACAGCTGTACTATGTGACTACTCTCTATCCTACTTTTTAAAAAAAATCCTTCAGCACACCCCGATTCGTGGCCTAGTAGATTATTATACTATCTATAATAATATAGTATAGGTATGTTCTATTATAATAGTATATACTTATTACTGAGTATATGTGTGCCTTAGGGAGGGTACTGGGATATTTCAGCTCTACTTGCAATTCTTGTCAGAACAGTAATAATAAAATAAGGTATCCCTCAAAAAACTTTTTTTTAACAAAGGCCTCCTGATTTCCTTTCTCATGCACTATGGGGACACAGAGTATTAAAACACAGATACTAATAAAATGTGGATTCTCTAGCAAAGTCAGAGAAGGATGACTGCCACCCGTTGTGGAGAAAGCAATGGCCACTTTCAGGCTGGGGGCAGGTGTGAGGGAGAAGGGGGGAAGCTTCCTGAAGCAGCAGCAACAGCTAGAACCTCTCCCTGAACAAACCACACTGGAACTATATTATTATTATTATTATTATTATTATTATTATTATTATTATTAAGATTTTTATCATGCTATGTATATCTCAACTCAAGGCGGTGAGCAAACCTAATACTCCTACCTCCTGTTTTTCCCACAACAACAATGCTGTGGAGGTTGGTTGGGCTGAGAGAAAGCGGCTGGCCCAAAGTCACCCAGCCGGCTTTCATGCCTGAAGCGGGACTAGAACTTACTGTCTCCTGCTTTCTAGACCAGCACCTCAGCCACTACACCAAACTCCCTCTCTCCCTCTCCCCCCTCAAAAAAAGACTACTCAAAGAGAGAGAGAAAGCAGGGCTTTTGCATGACCAAATCCCATCTCAATGCAGCATATTGATTGTTCGCACAAGGATGAGAGACCGGGATGAGGTTGGAAGAAGCAGGCAAGTTCATCGATGCAGTGAGTTCTCATTATGATGGAAAATTATGCAACTAGGACTAAGTAGACCTCTAGGCAAACAGTGTGATTTAAGGACAGCTACAAGTCAAGGGACTATATTGTGTAGTGGCCATTCAAAGGAATGAGGGGGAGGGGGCATGAAAGTGTCATAATGGAGAACTAAGAGACCTTGAGCTTACTGAGAAAACCATGTTACTTGCAGGATATCAGAACGAAATAAGAATATGTCCTCAATACAAGGGAGAGTTAAAAACAACAAACCCTGAATTAGGAAGTTTAAATCAAATGAAATAATCTATGGAAGGCATAAAAAAAGAACTTGAGATAGGGATAAATACCTAGAGATACCATATTCTTTGTCTGCAGAGGAGGATAGATTAAGAAATATGTAAACAAGCACTCTTGAAACTGGAGACAGTTCAAACAGGGACAAGATTACACAAGAAAAAGAAGATAGGGATTCATACTTTCTGTAAGTTAAAAACAATAACAAGTACGCAGAAATTGCCTCACTCCTGCATGATTTGATGAATTCACTCTAAACATTCCATATATCCAAATTTCAATATATTCCACATATCCAAATATCAATAGCCATACTCATGATTAATTGTTCTTTTGGAATAGGTGGTGGATCCCAATGATGGAATAGAAGATGAATGATTTCTATCAGTTATTCATGTCCCTAGACCCAATTTTTGAGCCTATAATTGGGCTCTCAGATCATGGTAACCCACAATATGTTTGTTTGACATAGCTTAGGATCTTGTGGACATCAAACCATTTGTTTTATGCAATAAGCCATGGTTAAATACAATCCACCCTTTCTGCAGCATCACATTGTATAGGGTGAGTTCTGGAGATTGTTTAAATATTCAACTACACATGAGATGAATTCAGAAAGTACTATTTGCTCAAGAATGCACATTTTTTGGTATCTCACCTATCAAAATGACTAGCACCAAATGGAGACCCTTTCCCAGAACCATGTCCACAGAGAGATGTGTTGTAGGAACCCAAGGAAGGGCATAGGACACCTGCAATTCAATCTCTTTGCACGGCAGAAGGGCTAAACACCTCTGCTTAGCACACAACCATGCACTAAACAAAGCTGTGCTATACAGATTTGATACAGCCAGACAGTATCTTCCTTCCCCGCCTAATTTCTCAGTATATAAAGACTGAAGATTGTGAAGTTTTCCTTGTTACTACTCTTAATCTATGACTTAACATTTGAAAATGAAAGCTTAAAACCACAACTGCCTACTGTCTGACTCTTCTTTCCTTAATGGAAGTAGGTAGAATTTTATAGATTTTAATTTCTTCTGTAATACACCCCTATACGCACAACAACACAACCCTTTATAAACCAGATCCAGACTGGGGGCTTCATTTTTTCACCCCAAACATACTAATAATGGTGAAAACATTTCCCTTAAATACAGTAATGGTAATAGTTAGGGACCTTGTCACTTTCATTCTCTGGCACAATAATCATCATATCCTTTGTCCCCAAATATTGCTTGATACTGTATGTAGAGTCTCTGGACTAGATAATTTGAACAGGTAAGAAAGTGGGAGAAATTGTAAAGGGATTCATAAGAGGAACGTATACCTTTGTCTGCCAGCAAACCATATTTTATTCCATAGTACTCCATTCCATCCTATTCCCTCATGTTTCCCAGGTCTGCATTACATGCTCACTGAGCAGACCTAGTACTCAATGGCTTGTTTGGTTCCCTCTATTAAATTGTTTGTCTCCCACCTGCTAGATGATGATGATCATGACGATGATGATGATGATGATGATGATGATACAGTCTCAGGGGCACCTCCAAGGCCCCATAAACAAATGTATCCATACCTGATTCTTAGAAACAAAAGTAGTGATATTTTCAGGAAATGACACACTCACAGAACTCAGTTATTTAAGGGCACCCATTTTATACTTGGAATGTTCCTCTATGAGGAAGATGTTGTTCCAAGATTGGCCTTCAACCTGCAAAATGTAACAAGTTTCTCACATGGTCTTGAATTTTTCCTATAATTTATGGCAAGGGGAGACAAAAAGAAAAAAGAAAAGAAAAAGAGGAAGAGGAGGAGAAGGAGGAGGAGGAGGAGGAACTGAAAAAAAACATGCTTTATAAAAGTCCCTCGGGTATCAAGAGGAAAGAACATCTTTTTCAGGCACTCTTGTGGGCCTCTCTTGAATCACCAGTTTCAAAATGCCTTCTCTGAACGCCGTACTAGAAAATTATTTTTCATCCGTCTTCCATTACAGGCGTGTGGAGAATCTAATCAAACTCTTAATGGCTTGCTGCACATATTGCTGGCTTCTGATGGGGCTTTTAGGTCTTAGCTATGAAGTCTCCAAGCCCCTCAATCAGATGTGCACTGAGGTGAGTGATCACTTATTTGTCTTTCTGTTGGGAGAAAAGCAGCTTCAAGAAAGAATCAATAATTAATTTCGGAGCACTGAATACTTGCATGCTAACACTGGGTCACTGAAGGGCTGAAAGTCCTGCAGTGGGTGAAACAGAAAATATACAGATAAACGTGGTGTCTTAGAAGTATGTTTGCTGGACCTATCTCACAGAAAGGAAACTTGCTTTTCTCCGCAAAGATCCATTTTTCCAATAGGAAAACAAAAAATCAGACTGCCTTCGCACCCATTCTTATAGTTAGTTGTGATCCTATCTTATTAGTTTCAAGTTCACAGTGATACACAACAGACCTTGAGGTACAATCCTGTGCCTGCTTAGTAGCAGATGTCATTTAGAAATTCCCACATAGGCAGTTCAGTGCAATAAACAAGCAAGCAGGTTAAGGTGGTCTATCTCTTCTTTATTTGTGGCTAAGAACCTTAAAACCAAATAGGACCAAGGGAGATTGGAGATGAGAGAAGACCTGCTATTTAAGGCACCATGTGGAGTTTTCAGGCACCGTTTGGAACTGGCATGTGCAGGGGACATTTGCCAAATGCTGCTGGACTAAGAGGGGCTAGAAAGAGAACAGACCACTGGCACTTTTTATCTATGTGCACCAGGGGCTTCTGAACAGGTGCTTGGCTTTATAAGCAGTTTAAATGCACCTAATTTCTGTACAACTAGACCTTGGGGTGCGATGCTTCTCATGGCACACTTATGCTCACTAACACAGACATCTTTTACAGCTGTTGCAGAAAAGGCTTGCAGCCTACAGTAGGAGTCCCTGTGGCTTTTTGAGCTGATCAAGTGATTGCTTTCTTGATATATAAAAAAAAAATCCCAGGATGAAAAAAGAAAATGACTTGGCACATGTATGATTGGTGGTAATGTAGTATTTCTCTGAAAGTTGTACGTGTTTCAGTCCACCCACTGGCCTCCTACTGGGGCACTTTTGATAAACACTCCAACATTCTATGATAAATGACATCCATGTAGTAGCACGTCCAGATCATCATTTACTATAGTGGTTGTAAATTGCATGAGATATCAAGTTTAGATTGGAGTTAAAGGAAATAGAGGTGATGCAATGAATTTATTTATTCTCCTTCTGCTTGGCTTGATGTTTTTTTTCAACATGGAACTCGTTTGGTCTTTTATAACTGCTACTTTTTTGTCATAGAAGAACAACTTTTAGCCTTGCTTTGTATTACTGTGTATAAGCCTCCATTTCAACCACCTGAATGTACAGATTTTAAAAACACTGATAATGGACAAAGATTAAGATACTGTTGAAGGTAATCAAGTACCAGCCCTGGGAATGATTTTTGGTAGAGGATCAAACTTTGGTAGAAGATCAAACTAGATTATAATTCCAGGAGCATCTGATTTGAGGGTCACTGGCTTCAAAATGGGTAATCAAAGCCTACACATGTAACACAAAAGCAAGGCTTGATAGACTTGTTGTGCCCACCATCTGAAGCCAGATTAGCAGTTACTGGGGACTGTTTTGGACTAAGACTCAGTGCTCCAACTTGGGCTAGATGTAAAGACCAAAATCCAGGGCTAGGAACAGACAATCCAGTATCTTCCTGATTTGTTGTGCTATAACTCCCAACATTCACAGAAAATGGCAATATGGAACACAACAGGTTGCTTATATCCTGCTGCAGTCAAAATCAGCTCTCAGCAGTTTACATAACTGAAGCAGAATTAAAATAAATCCATGATAAAAATTAATATAAAAATTCAACATGATTAAAATGAAATCAAACCCCTAAATTCCAATTAACCATAAAATAAAGAGAGGGTCAAGTCTAACTAGAATGCTCTTGGGAACAGCTCAGTCTTCAGCATCTTCCTGAATGCAGTCTGGAAGGGGGCCAGACATCTCCACCTTCTTCTACTTCCTCAAAGTGGGGGCTAAGAGTAATTTCTCCCAACGTAACTAATAGGTCAGGCAGATTCTGGTTGGAGTAAGCAGTCCTGCAGCTACCCATTTTTGTCCTTAGCTCCAGGGCCCAGGTGTCCCCAGATGACCAGAGGGCAACATTTGTACATCTAATCAGCACCTAATCTAGTGTAGAGACTAGATCCTGGGTCTTCAGCAGATCATCCTTCCTTTCTCTGTATTTTAAGAAAATATCTATATACAGGCATGGGTATCAGCTAGGTTTATACATGTTAGACATTAAAATGTTATTCACTTATTCTTTTAAAATATATTACCATTTCCTACAATAAGACTGAGCTTACTCTCACATTTGTCTGTTGAGAGCACTGTGTGGTTTCAGAATCCCACATTTTAATGCTTTCTTTTAACTAGCCCAGAAAATGTTTCCCATAATATTTGAGTAATCTGGAAAAAAAAAATTACCAATGACACTTTGAACATGGATTATATTATCATACAAAGAGCCTGCTTTTGAAGCATTTTTACTCCTTCAGCTCCCAAGCAAGTATATTGCATTTTTCCTTTTTCCATATCAATTTGCACTGAGAACAGGCAACCCACACATTGCATAGGGCACCCAAAGCCTTTTGTTTTGTTTTGTTTTTTGCAGTCCCTCACCAATCAAACCAGAAAACTAGTCACCTAAATGGGATATGATTTCCCATCTCTTTTTGGCAGTTTGGCTTTCACACACATAGAAAACTTCAAGTCAAAAACTGAAAGGGAATTATATGCTGACAATCCTGCCACTCCTCCTTCAGTAATGCCAGAACACCATCCTTTGCTCCTGGGTGTACTCAGTTGATGCTAGAGGACATTTGGGGAATGTTCCAAAAAGCACCAGTTGTTCCCATAGGTCATAAGGACCCATTCTCCAGATTTTCCCCTCCTTGAAGTACTCTGAGATGATTTCTTTTTAATGCATTGAGTACAATAGCTTTTCACATTCAAAAGGAAGGTGCTCTTGGGGTTTTATCTGGGGTTTTTGCTTTCTGAAAAGTTAGTCACAACAAAAGAGGTTGATGTGGGTCAGATAGCATAAATATCTAACTGAAGTAGTTAGCTGGGAAGAGCTATCTGTCTCCCCCATACAAACCCCTATCTTTCAAAAAGAATGTTATGGCACACCAATTTACAATATTCTATAGATATCGACTTAAACTTCTCTGTGAAATCAGTGTGATTGGCTCCTAAGATTGTAACCTCAGTAAATAAAATCCTTTCCTGAGTTGTTGTTTTTTTAAAAAAAAAAACCAAAGCAGTTGCAAAACATTGACATCTAGATAGAAATTTTTTAGAGTGGATTTCATCATTTTCATCTGCAAGTTAATTTTCTTACATATATGAATGAATGAATGCAATCTACTACATTTCTCCACAACTCAAAAAGTAGCTTAGAGTGAGTAATCTTGAGAAAAAAATGCTCACAGGGGGAAAAAAAAATAGGGACCCTGCAGCATTGGAAACAATAGGAAGGAAAATCAATTACCACCTACAGAAAAGCTAAGCAGGAAATGCTCTTTCTGACCCAGGAGATCACTGGCTCTGTCCATCCTTCCATCATAAATTCTTTCATATCATCTCCTGTTGGCTAGACCTGCTATGATGGGCTAGTGAATTTGCAATTTCCTGTGAGAGCAGATTTTTTGGAGGGAGAGACCCAACAAATGTATTTGTTGGAAAATTAATGATTCCTTTACATTGTCATTTTTCCACAGGATGCTAATTTTCCAGATACCATCTAAAACAGTAGTACTTATTTGTAGTAGTTCAAGTTGGCTGTAGTATCTAGGTAAGGTGTTTTGAATGGGAAGCAATTGATATTAAAAATGCTTTAAATAAAGAAATGTCTTTAGTTATATGTTCTTTCTGTCCACTTTCAACTGATATTTCTAATTGTTCTCTTCCTGACAGGAAAAATTATATCCTAGCTGAAGAAAATTGTGTTAACTATGATATTGTATTTAGCAACCTTTTCTCCAAGGTTTTGAGAAATTCACACTAGAATTGCATGCAGTGTGTTTTACTTTCATCGCTATTTATTTGTGCAGCATGGCAGGGAATCCCATTTGCAGTTCCAATATTTTGAGTTTTCAAGGTCATGCACATGTTGTAACCAGACATACTTTTTGATCATTTATCATTTGTTGAACTGCCAACTTATTGTGAACTCTCTGCATTAAAAATTAGTATAAAGCCTATATTGGGAGATTACTATTTCACATTGAACTCTTCATTGCACACTAATTTAGGACACTGTCAAAACCTCCTGTTAGCTACATGTTATAACAGCGTATGAAATAATGAATTTTCAATATCATTCATTTGGTTGTTGATTCCTGTAATATTGATGGTCTTTTCTAATTGTCTTTTTTTAATTTGTCCATTGTATGGCAGCAGCAACAGACAAATAGCAGATTACTGTATATAGATTTTAGTCATTTTTATGGGTTAGTGTCATCCACCAGGTTTTAACCTGCCATTAGTAGTAGTAGTAGTAGTAGTAGTAGTACTTGTTTCTTCTTCTTCTTCTTCTTCTTCTTCTTCTTCTTCTTCTTCTTCTTCTTCTTCTTCTTCTTCTTCTTCTT